GACTCTGCAGATACCCACTGCACCGAGAAAGGTGACTGTAGCCTCCCCCGAGGACAGCACCCACCAGCCACCTCCTGCAAGCACCAACTCACCCCCCCAGGCACCTTCTCTTATTCTGCCTCTCACAGGCTAACGTTTCCTCTCAGTAACAAGAGAGACCCCAACCAACAAGCCAAAAAATGTTATCAAGCTGTGGCTTCAAAACCAAATTACTGGGGTTTGCCAGGACGCAGCCGTGACTTGCCCCGATGTTCCACCCCCGGAGCCCACCGCTGCCCACTAACAACCCCTAACGTCGAAAAGCTGAAGCTACCGAGCTGTCCTACCAGCACCGTGCAAGTCTGGGTCTTGTGGGCATCCAGAGGATGCGCTTTCTAAAGCACATTTACTGTGCAAGTCCACAGGCTTGCTTAAAACTACAATTTTGCCCCAGCAAAAGAGGGCTGACACGGGTGTACATCAGCTCCAGCTGCACTGGGACGTGGTGGGAGCAGTTACAGTTCTGAATGGCAGTCCAGCTCTACAACGATCCGTCTTTTTTCCCCAAGAGGTTTGATAACGTGGCAAGTGCCACACATAAAATCAAACCCAGCTCTGTGCTTCAATATCTGTGAATAGAGAGAGAAGAAAAAACCCCAGAAATTAGCGTTTCTGAACTCAAAATGTCTCCTACTCAAGAGGTGTCTTTTCCTGCAATTATTTCAGTGTTCTGGGGGACATTTTTCCACTCTCTAGATAAAATAACAAGTTTTGCAGACTTGTTGCTGTAGTAACCAAAGGGTGATGGCTCCCGTACAATGGGAGCAGTGTTCTAACTAGGACATGCCCCGCGACGCCGTGCTGTGCCGTGGCATCCTATCGCAGGCATGGGGCTGGAAGCATCCCCACGCTCACCGCTCCCTCCTTCCCTAAAAAGTTGGAATACCAGGAGGATGCCCCTTGCTCGTGGAGCCGCACAGCGGCAGAGCAGCATTTCCTTCAGTGATTAAGGACCAACAGCAGCAGAACAATTCACGTGATGTTCTCTTGCCGTCACGGCCCGATTACCTGTGCAAAGCAGCAGGGCTTTGTGGTGCTGATGTGCAGTCCCGCTGACATGAAGAATTTTCACCAACTGCAGTATTTCCCTGTTTAACAGCACTCCCAAGCATCCAGGCACCCTCTCCTTGGAGATGGGAGTCACCTTCTGCTCACACAGAGGAAGCATCTAAAAGACCTGCTGTATTTCTGATGCTTTCAAACAGCGATAAGCAGAGTATATCCAATTAAATACTAGTATTTTTTCCAGCTTAAACAAATCAAGAGCAGATGGGCACTAGGTATGGGGGAACCAGCACCCAGGGCAGGCCCACTCTGCTGTCCTTCACAGGCTTTTTGGCTCTGGCAAGGCATGCTCACCAAGGCAGGCTACAGCAGCGCAAGGGCCGCTGCAAAATGAATGCAAATCTCGAGGGGAGAGGAAGCAGCAGGTGTAGAGGACACCACCGTCAGCTCCCACCCAGAGTCCTCTGCAGGTTACACACAGGCTGAACTAAAAGGTAAAATCGTATATAGGCCACATATGCCCTATTGTTCTGCTGATAAATCCCAGAAACCGGACTGGGACCTCTTCTCTCTTCTCTCTCCTCCGCTCCTCCCTTCTCTTCTCTAGTGGCAACGAAAGACGGCACGATGCTATTAGGGGTAAAACAGAATCTGGCAAGAGCTTTTTGTGCTAAATGCACGTCCCTGAGCCGTCAGGCGACAGGACAGGTGAGGACGGGGCTGTGCCCGTGCACGGGGCTCCTGCTAATTGCAGGCAGCTCGTCAGGGCGAGCGCTCCCCAGCGCCGGGCCCTCCACGGAGCCACCGCTTCAGCTGCCCGGCAGGAGCAGGAAAACCATCGCGACCCCTCACAAGCACAACGCTCCGCCCAGGCTGTGTAAAACTGCATTTTTAAATTTTTATTTTTACTTTTAACTAATGACTCAGGTCAAAAGCACCCACGATATTCAGCACCACCTAAAAACCAGCAGACGTTAAGCTGCTGAAGGGAAGCTGGGCAGACCGGTACGGATTCTCAGAAAGTGTCTTAGAGGCCTCCAGTTGTTTTTTGAGCGGTATAAAGGCTGCGGGTCTCCAGGGAAAGTGGTTGCAATCAATACCCCGAAACGAGACAGAGTTCAGAGCAGGAGTGGCCGGGAGAAGGTCCTCGCTGCTTGTGACCCAATATTGCCGTAATAGGAACAGAAGAGAATTCAGCCTGGAAGGGCCATCAGCCATGCCCCCCGCCGGCCCGCTTCTTCACCAAGACTGCTGCCACCGAAGAGATTAAACACCTACAACGTCCAACTGGCAAACAGCTACAGCGGACGAGGACAAACCTACCTGCTCTACCACTTTCCATAGGCAAACACTCAATAAAAACCAATTTTTGGGCCAAACAGACCCTAAGGCAGCAATAATGAGGCAGGCAAGAGAAAGATCAGTGTTGACACTACCTTCCTGGAGAAATTTCGAAGGGTTTGGTGTCAAACCTCTTTCCCGAAAGAAAAGCAGCTTTTCAGGAAAAAACGGCTGCCACGCTGAGACCTGTGCCGAGGGCTCGGTGACAATCCTGCCCTGAAGAAATTCTTCGCTTTTGAAGACTTTTCATTTCCTACACATGGAGCCATCGAGACGTTTACACTTCTTCCTGTGAAATCAAATACTTCATAAAACAAACTAAAATTTGGGCTAAAAAGCCCAAGCGTAACTCAATCCACTATTCTATTTCGGTTACATCTGTCCTGCTGGCTCGCTCTCTATAAACGTCTTATTAAACATGGGCATGAATAATTTTTTGGACTTTGTTTCCATTAAAGCATCAGCACAAATTCAATGATACTAAACAAAAACGACCGAAGATTTAGGCCTTTCAGTGCCACCTCAGCTCAGCAGATAGCAATCGGTTATGTAAAGAAGCAGGATACAAGAGACACTTTGGTCCCATGTTTTCAAAGAAAGCCAGTCTGTTTGGCCTTTATGCTCTGAAGAACAGGATAGTATTCGCTTCTAATTAATTTGTATCTTCAGAGGGCAGTGGCTCCTTCCCTTTGAATGAAAGGGCAAACAATGTGAAGTATTGTTTAATACAGTTTTGTTCTTGACCAAGAAAGGAGCCTCCTACCAGCTAGAGGAGAGGGGCAGGAAATCATTACAGAGGAAGCAATGACAGCTGCCAGCCAAACACTGGTATGTTTTATTTATTCAGATATATGCTTTCATCTCAAACTTACATGGATGCTGCAGCTGGCAACAAGTGGTCCAGAATGGGAAATATCCTGGGTTTCCCAGCTGAAGAAGCAACCTCAAACCAACTCACCGGTCCATGCTCGGAGGAAAGCTGGAGTCATGGGAGTTGCCGATGCTCCAGGCTTCGCGTGATGCTAGGGGCACGTGCCCTCCTTGTCCCTAAAACGTACCGTCTGGCTTAGAGGTCCATTACACCACCCTCTTGCTGAGCCACGACGGTTTTGGTGACACCAGGACGGTTGCACGTCCTGTGTGAGGTGCCTGGGACCAGAGATGCTGAGCCCACACAGCTCCTGTTGACCCCCATCGGTGATGGGCAACAAGCTGCTCGGGCGAGGGGTCTGGCAGCGCTGGGAATTGCTGGCCACACACCTCGTGCCACTATTCACTTGTTTCCTCAGGTCCTGACAATCCAAACACCAGGACTCCAAAATTATTCATGAACCCCCAGTTCCCACCAGTCTGGATTCTCCTCTTGACCATTTACTGGATATAAACTTCAACATACCCCCGTGGGTAAGAAACAACTATTTCTGTTTTAGGAATGGGATTTTGACGTACAGAAAGACCGGAGTGACAGACCCTCACCCAAAAGTTAACGTTTACAGAGCCCCAGCATGAAACCGCAAGTCACGAGCCCTGGTCCACCGCAACGGCGACAAAACCATCTCCATCTCCATCTGCTCCACCACCAGTCACCAAGTATGCAAACACGCGGATAATTCTCCCCTGTTCTCGACACGGCGAAAAGTTTCTTTTCAAACAGCAGTATTTTACAAACATTTTTATCCCATTAGCCTATTTTCCACTGGCAGTGGGACTACCCCAGTAGTAGCATCCCTGCCGCAGCCCCGGCATCGCCAGCATCCGCCTGCTTATCCAAACCTGTACCACAGAGGACACACGCACGCACCGCGGGACAGAGAGATGATAAAGTCCCAGCCGGGATAGTTTACATTTTACAAATAGTACATTTATAACAACGTACTGGAATGTAGAGATTTGATTTGTGACCTATTTATACAGGGAGGTAATCTGGAATTAGTATAGGAAAAATATTACTGGTTTATAAATACCCCTATCTTGCCTTCGCTTCAGATCTCAGCCAGGAGCGAAACATCTGCCAGCCTAAAATTAAACATCTGTGTTTTACGGTGAGGAAACCGGGACTGGAAGTTTAACGCCAAAAAAGGCCAGAGGCTGCGCGCCCCCGGCGTGGGGCTCTGCCTTCCTCCGGCTGCTCAGCACCTCCTGTCCCCGTGCCAGGATGGGCGATGCCGGCCCTGGCCGGCTCCCGTCGGCACACAGCGGCACTTTCGGCAGTGGGGCTGTCTGCAGCCATTCAAAGACCCTCGACGAAAAGCCAAAGGAAAAGTGCTCTGGCAAATAAAACAGGGCATCCTCTTTTCACCACTTTATTTCCTAAAAAAAACCCACCAGCTCTTTGCTCGCGAGCATCCCGCTGTGCACGGCACACTGTCAGACCGGCCACCGCACGGCACCGGTCCTCGCAGGATCAGATCACCGTTCCCGCAGTTAGAACCAGCTACTTTATTACGGCTGCAATTATCTGGCGTGACGAGCCGTGATTTACATCGTTGCAGCGTGTCGTTCCCAGGCTTGGTTCAGGATGCTGCATGGGCTGCGCCGGAGCCGCTCATTACGGATTCTGGGTTGTTTCTTGCCCTCTTTCCTTACTGTCAGGAATCAGAGGCCAGGAGAGAAAACTATTCTCTCAGCTAATTACCACAACTATTCTATAATGGCTATTTTAGATGAATTTTTAATGAAGTGCGCTCTTGTCAGTTCGGGATTTCATAACTTTCAAGTCCAGCCTTCACATTCCAGCCATTTGCCGCATAAAGATTTCTCCTCTCCCCTGCAAACCGGCGCAGCAGGAGCAGGGGAGGAGGACGGACCCTCGTGCAACTTTGCTTGCGCCTGTCAAAATTAAATTAACTGCATCTGCTAAGCAGCAAGGTGACTGACAAGAACGCGGTTCAGTGCAGAA